AACAGACACCCCAATAAAGACTAATTTTTTTTTTTTTTGAAGGGACGCGCGCTGGTAGCTTGAGGAGCTTTTCCAGCTTCACCGGGCAGAGTGGCGAGTACAGAAGGTACTCTAGCCGTTTGGCGATCGTCGGTGCGCGTGCCGACGAGGCCGAGTGTGGGCTTCGAGAAGCGAAGCCCAGGCTCGTTGATATCTTCATTTTAATTATTTTAATTTTCATACAAATCGGATTTTATAAAATTTATTCTGTATGAAAATTAAAAAAAAATTAAGTGATGATATTAAATTTCTGACTTCACCATACCATTTATATGACCATGTTAACATGGGCTAGTGTCGGCTCATATACCCATTTACCTAACACCCTGTAGATACGTGTTGAAAGAAACTATGACTTATTCCATTGGAATAAAAACTTTAATATTTAATAACTTATAGAGACGAATAATCTTAGTCATGATGACTATTTGAATTGGCCTTTGTTTTCAAAATGTTCATTCAGATGAAATGCAAAAAAATGTCATTTAAATAAAGTTATTTCGTATACTCAGTAGGTCAATGCTGATTACGTTGTATTATCTAGATTTAGTGTTGTTCATCCGAGGTTAGATTGAACAAAGAACGGGTTTAAGTCTCGATATGGCAATATATTAACATAGATAACCAATTGACATATAAAAGTGTTTTTTTAAATTCCCATTATGTAGAGTAAAAAATGACCTAATTAGAATACAAATATGTGCACTAAATAGGTCGTGGTTCTGTATATCAGTGTTAAGTGTAGATTCAAATAGCATTAAGTCAAACCATGGTTATAATACAATAATAACACTTGACATAAAAAACGTGATATCTTAGAAAATAATTTAAAAAAAGATTTTAAAGAGAAAATTACCATAGTTAAGCCAGAGAAAAAAATTCAAAAGACTTGGAACACTAACTTCAAATCATACCACAACCACAGATAACATAATACTGCTATGTTTTACCTCGTCTACCTCTTTAATATCAACTATTGCGTATCGCAATATTTTTTGAGCACTAGCCATAAAAAATCTCATGCCTCAATAATCTTTATTGGTACTTTAACATCTGTTAATAATTTCATTGTAAGACATAAACATTAACTGCGCTGGATTCCGTGAATACGTTATGTGTTAAGGTTTTTATATCGCTTCGGTATACGTGATATACCAGAGCAATAATATATCATTAAAGTTATTTTAGGTTTTTTTCAACGAGTTAAGTTAACTAATTTTTTCTAACATTTTAAAACAATTTTACTTCCCATGAAAACTACATATATTTTACTATTACTATCATAATAATACTATTTTTGTCATAAGTTAAATGCACTACTATTAGAGCATTATAGCATAATATAAATCATTACCAGTAGGCCTAGGATGCGCGCCGTGATAGCATAATCACGCCATTTTATCGATTTCACGCGATAAGCCCATACATTTGTCATCTAAAATCATCGATAAGATTTTATCACGGCGCGCGTCCTAGCCCGAATGGTTTCATCAAATAATTCTTTGATACTTTGAAAAAATATCGACAGACCCAAAAAGCTTTAAAACTATAAACAGAAATAATAGACTTTAATAGAGACAAAAAGTCAAGGCTCTATTACCTATGCCGGAAGGCATGTTAACCTTAGTAAGTGTGATGGTATGTTGTCCAGTTTTATGGATCATTGCATTGCATAATTGGTGAAATACAGTAATGACGCATCCTTTTTTGGTACGACAATCGACATTGCAACCGAATTGCCCCTTGAGGCCATTTTGTTGTGTCATTGTACGTGTATAATCGGAATGTATAAGTAGTTGATGATTAATGAAAGATACACGAATTGGTAATCTAGTTTAAAAAGAAAGTTATATATTTTTTAAACCATAGGCTCTTTGGCCTGCACCTGACATGATGGAAAGTGACAAACCAGAAGATGGAGCAAAAGCTTAAAATCTTTAACCCCCATAATGAAAAACTTTCGAGTTCGTTTCGTTGCGTATTCAAAGTGTCATCGAAAAATTTTGTATGAAAAATTAAACAGCGCCCCCTATATTATAGCCGCCCTAGGGGGCGCTGTTTAATTTTTCATACAAAATTTTTCGATGACACTTTGAATACGCAACGAAACGAACTCGAAAGTTTTTCGTACTAGAGGTACTGATAACATAACACTGCTATGTTTTATCTCGTCTACCTCTTTAATATCAACTATTGCGTATCGCAATATTTTTTTAGCACTAGCCATAAAAAATCTCATGCCTCAATAATCTTTATTGGTACTTTAACATCTGTTAAATTAATTGTAAGACATAAACATTAACTGCGCTGGATTCCGTGAATACGTTATGTGTTAAGGTTTTTATATCGCTTCGGTATACGTGATATACCAGAGCAATAATATATCATTAAAGTTATTTTAGGTTTTTTTCAACGAGTTAACTAATTTTTTCTAACATTTTAAAACAATTTTACTTCCCATGAAAACTACATTTTTACTATTACTATCATAATAATACATAATACTATTTTTATCATAGGTTAAATGCACTACTATTAGAGCATTATAGCATAATATAAATCATTACCAGTAGGTCTAGGATGCGCGCCGTGATAGCATAATCAATCACGCCATTTTATCGATTTCACGCGATAAGCCCATACATTTGTCATCTAAAATCATCGATAAGATTTTATCACGGCGCGCGTCCTAGCCCGAATGGTTTCATCAAAGAATTCTTTGATATAAAAAATATCGACAGACCCAAAAAGCTTTAAAACTATAAACAGAAATAATAGACTTTAATAGAGACAAAAGTCAAGGCTCTATTACCTATACCGGAAGGCATGTTAACCTTAGTAAGTGTGATGGTATGTTGTCCAGTTTTATGGATCATTGCATTGCATAATTGGTGAAATACAGTAATGACGCATCCTTTTTTGGTACGACAATCGACATTGCAACCGAATTGCCCCTTGAGGCCATTTTGTTGTGTCATTGTACGTGTATAATCGGAATGTATAAGTAGTTGATGATTAATGAAAGATACACGAATTGGTAATCTAGTTTAAAAAGAAAGTTATATATTTTTTAAACCATAGGCTCTTTGGCCTGCACCTGACATGATGGAAAGTGACAAACCAGAAGATGGAGCAAAAGCTTAAAATCTTTAACCCCCATAATAATAAAGTTACTACACCCTAGTTGAACTATTTCGTATCTTAAGATAACATATTATAACCCGAAATTATTTGCAATATCGCTCAGTATCTTAAGATGCTTAAGATATATTAAGTTCGTCGTGTGTGATGGTTCATAGGATTTCTATGGTGAGTGATATTCTAGAATATGCTCTAATATAATATATATTTTATATTATCTTCGCCGTGTGTGACGCGCTTAACTCATATCATATTTGAAAGGGCTACAATATCCTACTGGAATTGGGATTTTCAGACAGCTGAAACTTTTTCAGGAACCGCTAAATGGCCATTTTATTGTTTTATAAAATAAGTCTCAATTCAGAACAAAGTGGCTTTAACTCATTTTATACAATTAGTTGTATAAACGAGCATTTTTGTAGTTGTTAGATTTAATGGACTTGAGAGTTGTGAGGCGACCTTGATCTTAAACGATCGTCTATGGGAAATAGCCAAATGTGTATCTCTACATTTAAAATGCGTGCAACGTGAATCTAATTGGGCGTATCCATTTAGAATTGATCGTTTATGGCATAATGTATTTTGTAATCTTGAAACATCTTATAAAAAACAATATGTTTCCTTACAAAAATAATTATTTTTTAAAACTCGGATTTATTAGTATAAAGCTTAATAATTCATGCTTTACACTCTTTATTAGAGATTTTTTGTATTTCCAATCTCTCTCTATTTTTTTATTAGGGTTCCGTAGTACTGACAAGGATCCCTTATAGTTTCGATATGTCTGTCTGTCCGAGGTTTTGCTTGGAAACTATTGGCACCAGGGAGCTGTAATTTTGTGGAGGTATGTATATTAATCACGCCGACAAAAGAGTAGAATAAAATTTTGAAAAAAAATTTTTAGGGTAGCTCCCCAACATGTAAAGTGGGGATGATTTTTTTTTCATCTTCTTCCCCATCTTGTGTAATATCGTTGGATAGGTCTTTTAAAATGGCTTAGGGATTTCTAAGACCATTTTTCGATTTAGGCTTCCGTTTGCAAAATGTTGAAGGTTAAGATAGATCAGTTAGTTTAAGAGTAGGTAATTGTCGTTTTACTCATCTATATATATAAAAATGAAACCCGTTTCGCGTTGTCACGGCATCACGTGTGAACGGCTGAACCGATTTCGATAATTCTTTTTTTTAAATGTTTGTGGAAGTCCAAGGATGGTTCTTACGGAAAAAAATATTAAGAAAATCTCTACGCTAAGGCGGTACGAAGTTCGCCGGGTCAGCTAGTGTATTATAAAATTTCACACCTAATAAAAAATCCTTAGAAGAAAATATTAAAAGTGACTTCAGATGAAGTAATTGCTTGCTTCTGAAATATATTGTGGTTACGACGGACAACTACGGAACCCTAACTGCGCGTGGCACGACACGCACTTGGCAAATTTTTAAGGACATAAAAATACTCAGCGAAACGCAGCCTATAAAAATATACTATCAACTATCAACAGCATAGCAGACTACATTTTTGTTGTGAACTCCATTTAATGTCAACAACATAAGAGGTAACAATGTAATAGCTCGATGTACCGTTGTCCCATACTTAGATACTTAGGGTGTTCGGTAGAAGGTTAGACAAACACGCGAGAAAAAAAAATATTTTTATAAAATTTATCTAAGTAAAATTTCGAAAAAAAATTTAAACAAGAAAATAAATTTAAAAAACAGTAAGCTCACTTAAGTAAAATAAGCGAATTTTTATTCTCAAAATGACCTATACATTCACGAAGTTTGTGTTACTTTCTACCAAACACCCTGTATAACAATACCTGTGGCTGGAAGCCGTTTTCGTCGGCGATGTAGGTGAGGGCTATGAGCTGGCCCTCCGGGGACTTGTAACTGAACTTCCCCTCAGCCACCTGCACCTCCTCCCCCTCGCCCTTGCCGAAGTTTTTGACGTACCCCGACTCTTCCGCATTGATCACGTTCCCAGTTTCGTATCTGAAATGGGAAAGCAAAGCAATAATCTCGGATTTACAAGTATAAAGCCTACGTTGGAGCAGTTCTCGAGTGACGGCAACGGGCCGAAAGGCGTAGTGTGGGCAGGGCCGACGATCTGGTGAAGGTCACGGGAAGAACTTGGATGCGGATCGTTTTGAAAATCCTTGGGAGAGGCCTTTGTCCAGCAGTGGACGTCCTATGGCTGTAATTATGATGATGTTGACATCATTGATTTCCATTATCGCATCCAGAGCCTTTCTGCTACCTTTATGAGGTCATCGGATTTTATGACTTTTATAACTTACAGCCATTTATAAGTTCCATCCACGTTGGGTCCGTCGGTTTCGAAGCGGATGATCGGGATCTGGTCGCCGGGCGGTTGCTGCGGCGCCTGCGCACCCAGCGTCGACGCAAACGCGGCCACGAGGAACAGTGAGATCTGCAAAGCGCCAGGAGAAACAATTGAACATCAACTTGCAAGCAACAACGCATTCTTGTGAATTGATAGCAAAAGCCTTTTAAGGCGCCGTAAAGGCTGTTTGGTAAAGAATGTGGTAAGTATTCTATGAATGTCCAAAATAATCAAAAGCACTTTCTAAAAGCCTGTACCTATTTGGAGAAAATAAATAACTACCACATAAAAGTTTGGACATTTTAAAATTTTTACGAGATCAAGTGGTTTTCAGTAGGGTATTAAAAATGCCAAAGGACAGCGAAATTGAAATTTGAAAGTAAACGTGCAACATGGCATTAGATTATTTTTGATGCAAAATAGTATTTCATTATACATAAAATAAGATGCCACGGTTGTTGAGCTTGATGCGCCGTCGCCTCTAAAAACTTATTGTAGCCTGCAAGTAAATCACTTATCGCCGTGGAATGTAAGCAGGTACCTATACCTACCTATTCACTTCTTTCTGCACAAAATTCGAATTCGTTTTCTCGATTATCAATCTCAACGAATTATAGAACCAAACGAATGTTATGAATACTTCGTCACCAAAATGATTAACTCTATTATAAATACAAGTGGTACAGTAAATTATTCAAAGCCCCAACGTAATCCATGTAACGTGCGTGCATAGTTCGCGGAAATACACTTCGCGCGGAAGAGCGAAAGTCGACTGCTAGTAGGGTCACCATTATTTGGAATATTTAGAAATAATTGCGGATCGAGCATTCCTTTTTACTAAGTAGGTAACTTGTGAGTAATAGATATTATTTCTGTATCGGACACGACATTAAAACTGTCGATTAAAAGAAATATCTACCAAAGTGAAAAATGAATCTAAAACGTATTTTAAAAAACAGTAACTGAGCTTTTAACGAGCACATTTACCCGTTCTGAATACAATACTAGATCCATAAATATTTTCTGAAATTATTATGGCGTGGTAACCCTACTAGCAAGCTCTGTGCATTTCACCGCGAACAATAAAGCGCGATAAAGAAGACGTGCTGAAACCACACACCGCATTTTGTAGTTTATGTGACAATACTTGAATATATGCATATATTTTCACGAGATTTCCCCCACGAGGAGATTATAGTACCTATATTACTATAGGATATGGGAGTTTGATAGTAACGTGGTTAATAAACTTGAACGTAGAGGGTCCACCAGTCTTTAAAAAATATATGAAATACCCTCCCTTTCTATTTATGTAGTTTCGAATCTTCGAATCTGTCTGTCCAAAAACTTTAACGCACGCGATTTAAAACCCGAAATAAAAACTATCCTATGTACCTCGGTATAGGTACCGAGACCTAAACTACTTCAAACTGTCTCTATACCAAAATTCATTTAAATCGGCTCAGTAGTTTAAGCATGAAAACGTAATAGGAACAGGATAACTTTCGAATTCATAAAAATATTAGTAAGGTAATAATAATCATCATCATCATCATCATTTCAGCCATAGGACGTCCACTGCTGAACATAGGCCTCCCCCAATGATTTCCACAATGGCCGGTTGGTGGCGGGCCTGCATACGGGAATAATACGTTACTACAGGTACACTTTTCAAACAGATTTTATGACACTTACAGGTTGAAATATGTATGTACTTAAGGCTTGGTATTTCTGCTAAAGTAGGTATTTCGCGCTGTCAAAATCTGCGCGCGCAATTCTTCGCCGAAGACAGCGCGCCAAAGAGCTCCCGCCACAATTTCCAGCTACATAGTATAGAAATACGCAGTTGGTTAGGTTAGGTCGACTTCCTTCCCTTCAAGCGTCACACTCACAACACTTTCTAATACAAATCATATCCAAGTGATACAAATTAAAACACCTTACAGACTTTTTGGGAATATATTCTAGAATCGAATAAATATGAAATATAACTGCAGAAGTAAACACGGTTCAAAGTGGCCGTGGCGTCGCCTGACCTTCTGGAAGTTCTGCGCCGGCTTAAAGAATTTCAAGATTACGTCACCCGACCTATCGGTAGGCCCTTGGAAGCTTGAGCGACTGGAAAAACATTTTATGATAAGTTACTCTTAGTAGCGATTATTTAGAGCTTGGATAATAAATTATAGTTGTTGCAATTCACGAAGCTTTGCATGTGGTTAATAACATTAATCAGTACACGCATTAATTTTGTTCAGTCTCTTTGTTTATTAATAAATAAAAATATCATACTAAAATTGCAGAAACATATTTGTTTGTATTGGTCTGGGTGTATTCTTTCTATAATATGTATGACGTATGTACGGGGTTCTGTATCGAAAATTATTATGAGCATCACACGCGGTTACCTGCTTACCTCTGTGCACTCATGGGAGTTTAAGCAGAGGTCCCTAGAGTTTGACTTTGAGCTTTGTTTATAGTCATTACGAAGCAGACTGATGGGAAACTGCACTGTCTTGAATTCGAAAGGGCAATTTGACGGTGTTAGGGGAATTCTAGGAATAAATACAGAGTCTCCTCATTGAGATTGAGACATTTCAATTTGAGATTTCACTTGACATTGAACACAATCTGACATGGAGTTTTCAAACACTTGTAAAAATAAAAAGTAATTAAATCAAAGGCACTAAGTAGTATTGATATCAACTTCGAAGAAAATGACTGCCAAAATTACTTTCTACCCGTTCCACACGTCTTTCATGAATTATATTAAGGAATTGTTAAGCTAAATTTCAAGTAGATTGAACCAAGGAATCACTTTGTCCCATACAAACTTTGCCCCCTTTTTTCACCCCCTTCATTTCATGACCCCATTTCGGAAAATCTTTTCTTATGAGATGCCTACGTCATACAAAGAACACACCTTCCAACTTTCAGGTCTCTACGATATCCGTCAGTCATTTAGGACAAAGCATTTTCATTAGTTGTCCAATACTCTATCGTTCCAGGTATGTCATTGACAGGAGGGCGCTACTATCTTAATGGGTTATTCATTAGTCCCAACTTTATGCCACTTGACATTTCAGAATCGTTTGACTTTAGATACCTAAGTGATTTGATATTCGGAGTCTTTTAATGAAATCAAGTTCTGAAATAACTTGAGGTGTTGTACCCGATCAAGCTTTTCATTGCAGGACAGTTAAATAGTTTTATTATTAGTTTCTTCTCTAAGTCTTAATTTGTCAGAGTAGGTAAAGGCTCCATGAGAGCAAAATTTAGCTTTATAATAGTTTTTAATTTTTTTCTTGAAATATTTGACGCCTTGTAATCTCTTGTAATCTCTCGTTAATATAGGTCCACACAAATAAAGAATGTTTGACTTCGACTTTAATAATTATGCTCTTACATAATTATAAATAAACTAGCTTTCCGCCCGCCGCTTCGCCCGCGTGGAATTTTTTGGTTTTTATATAACTTATTACACTCAGATATAATGTGGCTTTCTATTGGTGAAAGATTTTTTAAAATCAGTTCAGTAGATCCCGAGATTACCCCTTACAATTTAACAAATATACAAACACACAAACTTTACCTCTTTATAATATTAGATTATAGATAGGTAATTTGAAACCCTATTTTGTTTTATTCTTTTTTTTATTTTAAATATTTCACGATCCAAACTAATATTTACTGTAAGTAAATGCTAAATAGTAAATATTAGTTTGGATTGTGAAATATCCTACTAATATTATAAAGGCGAAAGTTTGGATGTCTGGATGTCATGATGTCTGGATGTTTGTTACTCTTTCACGCAAAAACTACTGAACGGATTTTGTTGAAACTTTACAGTATTATTGTTTATAACCCAGATTAACATTATGACGATATGTGGCAAATAAATTTCAATAAATAAATAAGACGTGTCTAAAAGCGCCATCTATCGTCATTGGTTAAAATCTACAGCACTGGACAAACTACGGTATGACGTTCGTAAATATTCATTCGGGGGAAACCGTGAAACGCCATCTATCAACATGGGTAAAATGAGGTAAAACATCATATCTAACGGGGGTAAAACGAGGTCCACGCGAACGAAGTCGCGGGCGGCCGCTAGTTTATAATAGGTAGCTTTCCCTCCGCAACCTTATTGGTATTCCATGTATGTGTCTTTTAACTGAGTTCTGTTAAACATTTCATGTAAAATTTGTCCAATTATAACTCTATTTACATCTGCATCTGTAAGCAAGGATTCATGTTCTCCAGCCCAGATGCCGAGTAAACAGAATCGTCTTTCAGTGACGTGCAGCTGCCCCTATATTTGACCCACTGACCTAATTTTTTATTATTTATTTGTGTCAGTGTGCTCTTCTAAAGAGTGAAGACGATTGTATGTAGGTACTATTAAAATGTAATTTTAACTCATTGGTTTTGTCTCATATTTGAGGAATGTATCATGAGTAGAGTCTTAGTTTAAAAGGATGCCAACGATTTAAATTTCAATAGGTAGACAAAATTCATAATTCTTAATTATCAAAAATTTTAGCTTTCTCCAGTAACACTGATGTTATTATACTGTGACTCATCAAAGTCATCATTGTCAAAAATATTGACAAATCGCGAACTGTCACGACCAAAAAACTGACACGCGTCCGTCCTCCGTAAGCGCCACCGCGCGACTGATTGAGATTGTCCAAGCCGTCATGGGCGATTTTTTCCACATTTTTTAACATAGTAACTAAATAAGAGCCAATATAAAAATTTCATCCGTTAAAAGCCCTCAAGTTATTTCTGAACTTTAGTTTAGTAAAAGATTCAGAATCTCAAATCGCTTATTTAAAAAATAAAACCATAAATAGAAAACGAATAGAGGTAACTTTGGGAATTTATTCTATCGAGTCAACTTCATCAAATCGTGTTTCCATCCGTTAATAGCCCTAGAAAATATCCTCAACTATGCCCAAATAAAATCTTAGCCTTTAATTTTACTGTTTAGTACCTCAAAAATCAAAAATGAAAACCTCATTTTCGCCATTTTCACTGCTACCCGGCCTTAAAAAAGGATTAGGAAAGAAGGAGTAGAATATCTTAAA